CAGGGTGTAGCCTCCAGGGGGCAGATCCGGGTCGGGGGGGGGGGCAGCTGTGGAACTTGGGTGGGTTTAGGGGGTGGAGGGCTAGGGGGCTGGGGTAGGAGATAGTAGGGAAAAGAGGATGAGAGCTGAAGGGTAAGGACTTTGGAGTGTATGTGTGTGTGTGTGTGTGTGTGTGTGTGTGTGTGTGTGTGTGTGTGTGATGTGGTATATATGTGTGTATGTGCATGTGTTCATGTGAGTGATGTGGTGTGTGTGTGTGTGTAAGTGATATGGTGTGTATGAATGTGTGGGAGTGTTTATGTATGCATATATGTATGTGAGTGTGTATGTGTGTGATGTGGTGTGTGTGTGTGTCTCTCTCTTTCTCTCTCCCTCTCTCACACACACACACCCTGCAGCAGACACACTGAAGGTCTCCTTGGGCATCCCTCAGCCTCTGGCCTGAGCTGTCCCAACACCAATATGGAGGAGAGAGAGGGGAATGGGCCTGGGTCTCCACTGTGATCACTGAGAAGGGGCTCCTGTGCATTAGTCCTCCTTGTCTAACTGAAATGGAAACCAGGAAGGGCATTCCATCCCCAGCCTCCTCCACTCAAGCCCCAAGGGCTTGGTCTGAAGTGACAACCTGGCCAGCTCACTGGGCAGGACTAGAGGTGGACTAAAGGTGACAACAGTCCTGTGGGCTGTCTTTTCCAAAGACTCCTCAGGCTGCCCCACTAGCAGAGCTAACAGCACATTTATCCCCATCTTGGGCTGGGTTTGAAACTGCTGGGAATTGTTTGGTGGTGGCTTCAGGTGGGGGAGATGATGAGAGCTGGGGACGTTTAAACAGGAAAGTGGCAGGGGTGGGGAATGGGGAGGAGTGTCTGAGGGCAAATACAAGCACGTTGCACAGACATTCGTACAAAGGCGTGCAAGCGTGTATTCACAGACACACCTATCCCTCTGCCCCCACCCCTGAACATAGACGCCCACTTGTATAAGTACATTCACAGACTTGCAGACGCATATGTAAACACACATGCCTAGGTTGTGCACACAGCCAAGCCCAGGGCAGGTGCGTACACACAAAAGTGTACAGACATTCACACAAAGTGTCTCAAATACACACAGGTGTCCCCTTCCTCTCCAGGGACAAATAAACTAAGTGGGCAGGAATGTGATCTTGGGCGGGGGGAAGTGCGGGCCCAGAGTAACCATCACCAGGAGGTGCAGCGGGGAGGAGAGGGGCGAGAGTGGGGTCAAGCGCCACGTGGCCTGGTCTCTGTATGCAGATGAGGCGTGGGCACACGTGCCAGGGAAACCAGTTCACCCAGGCCCACCTTGGGGTCAGCTTACTCAGGAGCCGAGCCCTCTCAAGGAGGAGCTGGACTTGGGACGGAGGCCGTCGGGGAATTGCCTTTCTGGCTCTCAGTAGCTTGGGGAGGGGACTGGGGGCTGGCTCCTGGGCTAGGACGATTGGCCACCCCTTCCCCCCAATCTTTTACCGCTTGATCTTTCTGCACTTGTCTCAGGAATTTGGATATTCTCCACTCCATCCCCAAGCCTCCTCCAGGGAGCCTTCCCTGACTGAGCTCGTTGCAGATCGGCTGGGACCGCTGTCTTTCACCGCTTTCTGCGTCCGCCTGCATCAAGGGGTCTGAGCCTCTACGGCCCTCCTCCCCACTCTGGACGGTAAAGGCTTGGACCGAAACCCTGGGCCTCGGAGGGGTGGACGGCGCGATGGCGGAAGCGCGGCCCCGAGAGGAGCTGGCGGGCAGAGAAAGGTGGCCGGCGGCCAGCCCCGCCCCTACCTGTGTAAGCCTATCCGCCCGCGCCTAGAGGATAAAAGCGGCCAAGTCACCCGGAGGTCAGCGAATTCGGCCCCCTGTCCCCCGCCGCTCGGTCCAGCCCGGCCCAGCCAGCATGTCCATCCACTTCAGCTCCCAGGTCTTCAGCTCGCGCTCCTCAGCCTTCCCGGGGCGCGGCACCCAGGTGCGCCTGAACTCGGTGCGCCCCGGCGGCTTCGGCGGCAGCAGCAGCAGCCTCTACGGTCTTGGCGCCTCGCGGCCGCGCGTGGCCGCGCGCTCATCCTCCGGGGGCCCAGTGGGCGCTGGCATCCGCGAGGTCACCATCAACCAGAGCCTGCTGACCCCGCTGCAGGTGAACATCGACCCCTCCATCCAGCAGGTGCGCCAGGAGGAGCGCGAGCAGATCAAGACCCTGAACAACAAGTTCGCCTCCTTCATCGACAAGGTGAGCGGCCCGCGCTGCTCCAAGCCAGGATCCAGGCCCCAGCAGCCGCCCCGCAGCGCACGTGGGCCAGGGGCTGGGAGGGCTGCTGCCTGCTCTCTTTCCGCCGATATCTGGTACTGTACCCTCTGCATGAACCCTGTAGCTATTTTTGTCCCCCTCTGCCTCCAAGCCCTCTCTTGCAGCAAGCTACCCAAATCTCCCTGGTTTTTCCTCCGGGAATGTGTGCGTGGGTCTGTCCGGTTGCCCTAGTGGGCTGTGCCTGTGAGTCGCTGGGGTTCTTGGGCAGCTTTTGTCATCCGAGTCAGGTTGGGAGCTCCAGACGCCAAGGCCAGGACTTCTTTCTCTGGGCCCCCTTCTCTGAGAGGGGGCTGTGTGGAGTCAGAGATGGGGCAGGGTGAGATTCTTCCCCCACCCCCCGACCCCCCTCCTTATTATCTAGCAGATGCTGGAAATAAAGGGCTGGAGGGAGGCAGGCTCCCGGCCCCATCGGCCCCACCTACCTGGTCCTCCATCCACCTTTGGGTGGTAGGAGGTGAGGTTATACTTGTCCTTGGAGAGCTCATCTGGGGGCACTGAGGGTCACGGGGAAGGGCCATTTAAGAGGTGTTTTTCCTCTTATGTCCCAAAGGGGTGGGGCATAGAGATGGGGGGAGCGCACTTGTGGGGCTGGACCCAAGAACCAAGGGCTAGCCCCCTGGGCCCCTCTGGCCAGGGCCTCCTCCCTGGGCGTAGAGCAGGCTTTCCCTTTCCTGCCTCTGTGTACCTCTCTGCTTCCCTGGTCCCCCATGTCCCCCTCTCCTTCACCCTTCAGACTGTACACATCCTTCAAGTTCTGGGGCAGCCTCCGCGGGAAGCCCCAGGCCCGGGTTCCCCCCGCTGCTGCTCAGCTGCAGCCCCCAGATCCTGCTGCCTGAGTTGTTGGTTTTGAGGAGGCCTGCTTCCCACCACCAGTCATTTTGGTGCTCCTCAGGGACTTATTTTACATTGGCTTCGTTGTAGCATCCTGTCCTGAGGCCTTGTTGGAGAAAGAGGGAAGGGGAGAGAGGATACTGAGAGAGGAAGGGATGAGGTCCCAGCCTGAAGGGAGAGGGCCCGAGTCGGGCTCGGGACACAGACAGGAAGGGGGCAGCCCTTCAGACAGGGAGGTGGAGGCCATCACCTGTGATGCGAGGGGAAGCAGAGGAGGAGGAGACCCTAGAGCACTGGCACATGTCAGTGACCTGAGCCCTGGACACACTCTGAGACAGTTGAGACAGAGAGTCCTGGAGGAGAGGCTTGTTCAGGGTGGGCTTCCTGGAGGAGAGAGCCAAGGGCTAGGGGCCCAGGTTGGGGGAAGAGCCAGTGCGAGCGTGGATTCCGCTGGATGGCTGGAGACCCTCCCAACCGCACTGTGGGTGGCACGGTCTGCCTCTCCTGAGTTTCCTCCTCCCGCCCCTTCTAGGTGCAGTTTCTGGAGCAGCAGAACAAACTGCTGGAGACGAAGTGGGCACTGCTACAGGAGCAGAAGTCGACCAAGAGCAGCCGCCTCCTGGGCATCTTTGAGGCCCAGACTGCTGGCCTGCGCAAGCAGCTCGAGGCCCTGCAGCTGGACGGGGGCCGCCTGGAGGTGGAGCTTCGGAACATGCAGGACGTCGTGGAAGACTTCAAGAACAAGTATGACCTGCCGGGATCCATGCCCTGGGCTCATGTGCCCCTCTCAGCTCACCCTCTGCAAATCCTCTCTGGGTCAGGGGTCAGGGGCTACAGCTGCTCAGTACAACTCCCAGAAGGGAAGGTCTTGATTGACACGTTCCCTGCTTCCCCTCTCTCCTCTTTGTCTCTGGGGGCCGTTTCCTAGTCGCTCTGGTCCTTTCTTCTGACTTACTCCCAGTGACGTATGTCAGCCCAGCCCTGATCTGTGCTGCTCCCTTCAGAGGCCTCACCAAGGCCCAGGAAAGGGCAGGGCAAGAGATGATGTGCGTCAGAACTTGCACGACCCTCAGATTATTCTAGAACAACTCTGTTTTGTTCCCGTGAGGGATTAGAGTCCAGAAAGTTTCAGGGCTTGATGGAAATCGCATAGTAGGTCATTGGGAGAGCTGGGGCTTGTTTTTGGGCCCGTGACTCCCAGGAGGAGACCTGGAACCAACTTGGGAAGGAAAGAAGCAGAGAGCATGATCATTGTGAGCGATGGAAGGGGTTGCGGAGGCTGGGGGTGAGTGCGGCCAGGGCAGGAACCAGAAAGGAGGCTGTGAGGAGGGGCAGGGAGTGGGAGGCTGGAGGCCGGGAAGGCTGGGTCTTGAGGACAGGCCTTTGAGGTGCCTG